AAAGTAATTTCGGCTTGATTAGACACCAGCCATCCCTTGGCGAAATTCGATGCTCACACTAACTAAATTGAGAATTCGAAATTAAGAGGAATTCTCCAAGGTGTAGAATGCAATTTTGTAATCAAACATTTAACTCATTTCTTTTGCCGCGCTGATTGCCTCCTGCTTGGCTGGCGAAGCGAATGGAGGAGGCAGTCTAATAGAAATACAAAACACATACACAAAGTTAAATAAAAGAATATGATACAAAGGTAAAGCCAAGAGCCGAACAAAGTTCCACCTTATCCCACTGCCAATCCCCGGGAAACTCATCCTCATCCACATCCACCGTTCTGGGCAACAGATCCGTTAACACCACAGGCCACGACTTTTGCTTTTTTCCCCGCCCGACTTGGCTTCTCCGGAGTCCGGGAGCCACACAAAGTTGCCGCCAGCCAGCTCGCACACATATATATTTATATATATATATGGATGATATATGTATACACAGGTCCCGCCATGGACACATCGCTTTCATTTTAGGTGCCGCAGAACAGTAAAAAAATCCCCTCTGTACACATTTCAAGCAAAAATTTCAATTAAGACTTTTACTATGAATTCATTTCTGTTTGCCTTCGTGTGTTTATGTGCTGGCTGCGCTATTTAGTGTGTGTGAGTGTTTGTGCCAGCTTGAACCATTGCCAGGACCGCTGGTAATTTTTCCTTTCCTTGTTTTATGTTTAAGCGAAATTGGTCAACAGTCTTTTGTTTGGCGCGCCGGATGCAATTTTAATCTGCCCAAATGCCAGGCGGACTCGACACACGCACCGCAGGAAAATAGGCAAACGGGAAAAACGAACCTTCAATGGGTATGATGGATAGCAAGGATGGCAAGGACTCGGTCCTCCGAAGGTTGGATGAAATAATGACTACAAACCACCGACACAGGGCTCTAAACCCAGACAGGCAGACAGACCTACGCACACACTTCAACGAAATGGCAAGAGCGACCACATAATATTTTAGTTTTTTGACCCAAAAATGTCAGCGGGACATGAATTATCACTGCCGCCAATGCCAGCCGTCGAAAAACGAGAGGAGGTCAAATGGTAGCAAGAAACTGGATATTGCCAGGAGCACAGCTTCGAGAGATACAAGATTATAATCGGGAAAGCTTCTTGAGTTTGGGAAATCAGTCATAGTCTAAAGTAGTGAAAATAAAATCCATTAAAATCTTGTTATTCTTGTTGCTTTAAAGTTTTTCTGAACTTTTAATCAGCTTAAAAACAGTTTTTCTGAACTTTTAATCAGCTTAAAGGTAAATTATGGATTTCAAGTGGATCTAAAGGTTTTTTGATTAAGACACCTTTTGTTGTTTACTACTAAACTCCATTATTAATACTAATTCGCTATAAGTCTAGTAAAATAAAATTACAATGTTGAATTCGGAATCTGATCTTAGGAATTTCGGTGTTTAAAACATTTCTGCAAAAAAACTGAGTTCCTGAGCCAGTATTTTAAAGTGTTAAAACCGTGCACTATGGGTAATTTGACCACTTTTTTGGCCAAAACCCACTCTTAAAAAGTCCTTAGAAATTGGATTTGTCAATCACAATGTATTAGGATAACATGAATGTCAAATGTTATTAACAGAAAAGTTTAACAGTGTGCATCACTGTTAAGTTATCACCTGTGAAAGCCTGCTAGTGCTTCAACGAGATGGCAGCGCTGGTAAACCGCTTATTTTGATTAAAAGTTTGAATGATCAAAAAGAGTATAATGAAGCAACGCAGCGCCGTTTTTGAAATGCAGTTCAATCACAAAATCATGTAACTTTTTTTTGTTAGCGTTCCGATGTATTTATTGACTGTGGTGTTCCTAAAATCTTGGGTGTAATCTAACCTCAAAAAACATTAAAATTGGTATTGAATTTTTATTTTTAAATGGAGCTACAAAATGAGTCCAGCTCTTTCGAGATCTGGAACCTTTTTTATCTTGTCGAGTACTTAATACTCTTTAAACTCAGTAAGTATAAAAGTGCACTTTTGCGCACTTTCTCTGAAATAAATGTTTTAAGACCTCCATCCAAACATGAATATTTCACGTATTTTTGTATCGTGAATGTCAGTTACGGTACAATCTTTGCAAAACCGGTATGCAACTATCTTTGTTATTAAATATTAATTATTTCAAAATTAATTTTCATCATTGTTTCATTGCAATAACTTTGTTATAAAGGTTTATAGTATTTTTGTTAGAAATTATAATGGTAATAATTATAAAAATAAACTTGCAATTCAAAAATACAAAAATGGAAAACTTTGATATTTTTTTAAAAATTGAATACGTTGCTCTTATTAAAATAAATTTAAAAAAAATTTTTTTTTTCACGTTTAAGAGAAAAATTTTTTTTTCCAAAAAAAAAGGCGGAATCACGCCTATTTTTTTAAACAAAAGTTTCTTTAAATTTAATATAGTTAAATTAAAAAAACCGAATGGCTAATTATTGGGTCGTTTTTAAGTTATTAATTAATGCCACAAAAAGTGGTCAAATTACCCATAGTGCCGTGTTATAGGAAAAATTGTTATTACCCAAAAGTTTGATGCAAAAAATTTGGTTTGGCCAGAGGATTACTGTTTCATGGCTGAATGAGGGAATAATAATCCTGAGTCAAAAAGAAAGCACATTGACAAAAGATATTCAAAAGTTTTCGCTGTTTTTCATAGCCGAAAAAACTTGTTGGATAAACAAATTCGATGAAAAAGGTTATGTAAGGTCAGAGTTTTTCTACGGGTTTTTGATATTTTTGATATGTCGGTTGACTTTTCGCCGCTTTGGAAAGTTCTTTAAAAATTCTTTTTGATGGGATTAACGCGGTCCGCACACCAAAAGCCATAGTATACTTTTCGGGGCGAGCGCGTTGCTTCCTTTGATGATGATGATGATGTTGATGGCATTAACCCAAAAGATGGCCAATATCGAAACGGAAAACCGAAAAGTGGGCCTAATACGCAGTCGGGCTAATTTCATTTTGAGAACCGCCCTCGCAGCGCTGCTGGGATGTTTGCTGTTGTTGTTCGCAGCCACGCAGGTTGCTCTTTGCTTTGCTTCTGCTTGTTTGCCTATGTTTGCCTATGAATAACAAGAAAACCAACAACTACGAGGGGGAGAGGGGGAGGGGAGGGGGCGTGGGAGGTTTTGTGAAAGTGGGCGGCTGGGAAAGCGGGAGTGAGAGGTCTCTCTCTTGAGCTCAGGGTGAATGGAAGAGCGGGGAGGCTGCGACGTCAGCAGAGGCTTCTTGAGGCGTTGCAAGGCGACGTCGACGACTGTCACTTTCCAAGAGGGAAAAAATCTGTTTGGGGCGTTTTTATTTTTTTCTTTATTTTCCCTTTGCCTTTGCCTTGTGTCGCTAGGAGCAACTTTGCCTGTACATTTCTTTTTTGCCTTCTTCTTTTGCCTGACTTATTTGGGCTCACCTTTCGGGCTGTTGGTCCTCGTCCTTGGCAAGCTGCTTAATCGTCTTTGTCCCTTTTAACTTTTGCGCCGCCAATTTTCTCCCCTTTTCTTTTTGAGTTCTTTATGTTTTTTCCTATTTTGTTAGTGTTTGTTTGGGCAAGCTGGGAACTTCCGCCTAGTTTTATTTCAGTTTTTGGCGTATCAAAATTTAGTTTGACTTTCTTTGGTTTTCACTTTCGCTTTTTCCTTTTGCGGCAGTCCAGTCCCGTTGTATTCAACAAATTGTTCGCGCTTCTCCTTCAGCTTCACCTTCACCTCTCTGTGGCTCTCTTTCCTCCACACACTCTCACTTTACGGGGGTGTCCGTGTGTGTGTGCCGTGTCGCGTGTGTGTTTGGTGTACGGTGTGTGTGCAGCAGGTTTTCACAGTTAATTGAGTCTGCACAGGTTTTTACCACTGCTGGTCACACTTTTTACACTACCTTCGAGGCACTCTTTTTTCACACATCACATCACACACTTGGGCCTTCTATTCTTGTGCTGGCCTTTCTAGGTTTTTCTTGTCCTTCGCCCGTTTTATCCGTGCTCCGTGTCCGTCTGCGTGCGCGTTCGCTCTTGCTCTGATGCTGACACAACGACAACGACGATGCTCCGACTCTAATTGCGTTAAAATATTTTCGCTCCCACAACAACAAAGCCAGCTACAGTGCACAGAGGAAAAATCCCCTTGATATGCTATTAAGATTTGCCGATTAAAAATACATTTATTAAGAAAAATCTAAATTTGTAACATACGATTTGTAGAGTGTAGATCAAAGGACCGTGTTCAATTAGCATCCCTACCCAAATAATATTTGTTTATTTTTATAGTTTTGTCTATTTTAAATTAATAAAAAAAAATTAAGCAAAATTATAAATACAACGGTTAGGAATTAATACCCTTGTTCAACCAAATGTTTTATTTTATTTTTTATGTGTTGATATTTGAAAAGGTCCTTTTTATATCGAAAATAGTTTGTAAAGCCTGTCAAAATGGTTTGTCACTTAATTTCATTGTTTCTTTCGGTGTAGAGCAGGAGGAGAGAGAAGAGCAGCATCAGCATCCGAATCTGAATCAGAAGCAACAACAACTGCCGCTCTCCAATTTGTCTGACGCTGCTTCTTCTTCCTTCAACTATGGCACACACAGTTCAATTTCAAGTTGAAAAACTTTTTCGGGTGAATCTCTCTTACCAACACATTCACACACACCCGAAACTTTGACTTTGAGCAGCTTTTTGTGAGAGCCGCTCTTTGTGCGTGTGCGTGTGTGTGTGATTTTGTTTTCCCATCTAGTTGCTCCTTTGTTGTTGTTGTTGTTGTTGCTTTTGCTCCTGTCGTCGTGAGAAAACGACTCTCGTTCGCTTTTCCCACAAATTTTCGTATTTCGTTTTTGGCGCAAGCCCAGTTTATTGTTGCCATTCGCTATTATTATTGTTGTTGTTCCATTGTTGTTGCCGTGCTGGCATTTTTTGGTCCTTGTTGCGCTCAGCAAGTGAGAAAAGCCACAGGAAGAGCCGAGGTACAGCAGCATCGTCATCCACATCCACATCCACATCCTCCTCCTCGTCGTCATCATGAATCGGGCATCGGCATCGGCTGCCCGAGTCCGACATCGCGGCCGCCATTCGGTTTCCTTTTTTCCGCCAAGCTCTCGTTGCCACAGGAGCGGAGGGGTAAGGACCGGATTAAAAGGCCCTCCCTTTCCCAATCAAATATTATTCTCTTTATTTTATTAAGATAGGCAGAATAGTACAAGGATTTGAACATGTGTGCTACATTAACTGAAAAACAATCAACACAAAAAATGAAAAACATATTTTAAATATATGATATTTAGAAATGAAAGGCTTTTTGAGTTATATCGAAGTTAAATAAAATATTTTTATCTAGTTTGACTTAATTTGTTACCAAGTATCCCTTCCAAGTTACGTATGTATGTATATTTTTGTCGTTCTTAACAAATCCCTTCTTGCATTTATAAAAATTACGTATACGCAAACGCAAAAAATTACGTATACGTAATAATGCTACTACGAATTTTAATTTCATAAAACCCAACAAAGGTTTTATTTTCTTCTCCAAAGTACTTTTCTTATTTAAAAATTCAAAATTATTGTGAAAAAACAAATTAGCGATTCAAGTGATTCACCATTTTTACAGCTTCTCATCTAATTGAACCGCTCCTGTTTGAGCGCTGTGTGCCACTCACTGGTATTGTTTTTTGTGTTGCTGGCTCTGTTCCATATTATGGTGGCATAAACATATATACTCGTACTCGTACCTTGCCTAGCGTACATATAGACATTTTTTTGCGTACTTTCCCGGCTGACTGGCGTTTTGTTCTGCATTGCTGTTGTTGCTATTGTCGTTGTAGGAGGTACGAGTGCTGGAAGCACTTTCGAGCACCCCTTTTTTGTTGATGTTGGCAGTTGACGGCGTTGTTGTTATAACCGGTATTCGTATGGTAAAAAGGGTATATATGAGTCGATAGAATGTTTGTCATAAGAATAAGGAGAAAGCATTCTTAGCAGATAAGCATCCACAAAATATTAGTGTATTTAAGAGCCATATCTCAAGTAGAATGAGCTCAAAGTTTTAAAGATGCTTTGTACTTCTTTTGAATAATTGTAAGAGTAGTTTATTGCGCTCTAAGGAATGCAATACTTTTTGAAGGACCAGAAGGACGGGTATTCTAAAGTCGAATCAGTTATACTTGCCATTCCTATGTGTTTTTGTTCTTCCTTAAGGAGGCGGTATCCTCGATTGTACCTGGGTCTGGTGATTTGGCTCCGCTCTTGTTGTGGGTCGCCAGTGTTGAGGGCTGAGATGTTTGCGTTGTTTTTCCACGGGCGACTGTCTGAAGTGCAAATTTGCTTTAATTATTCCACGACAACAACGGCAGCATTTGCAACGGGTTGTGACTCAAATTCAGACACTAGCCTTTGGACCCTCAAGCAGCAGCCGCCTACGTACATCCTTTAGAGTGGACCCAAGTTTTAAAGTCACAGTCCCTTGGGATCTTTAAATTCATGTTGAATAATTTTTTAAAATGTTTGCCTTAGTAACAATGCAGTTTACTGTTGGCATGTGCACCTGGCGTATGCGTGATGTGCTTTAGAAAGAACGAAAGGAAATTGTTTCTGGACTCCAAAAAACCCGGCTACTTTAGATAATTTTAATTGTATGTATATACATCAATATATACTTTAAAAATCGCTAAATAGTATTTAGTTTTTTTTATAATCTTAAATTAACTTAAATCTTAATCTTAAACATTGGTCCATCCTAAGAATCACATAAAAACAATGCTAAATATTTAAGTCGCCTGTCAAAATGAAATGTGCACCTTTAGATTTTGTGACATCATTTTATTTTATCAAAAAAAAAAATCAAAAAATAAGAATGTGTTCCTAGAAAGCATTTGTATGTTCTTGGAAGTGTCTTCGGACTGAGGTTCACCCCAATGCCCACATTTCAGTGGCTGGCGGCGACAACGACAACAACACTTACTCATGCATCCCTCCCGCCCGCGCAGGACTTACCGCCCCCCGCAGGCAGGACTCTTTGCGACATTGAGTGACACCTTGTGAGCGTTTCACCGCAGTTTCTCTCAGTGCACGACCCAGACATGACACTAGCCGGGCTTCCATCTAACCAACCATCCAACCAACCGAGCAGGCTCCTCTTGGGTGGCTTCGTCGCATTTGATGCTTGACATTGTTGGCAGTCGATATTGGTTGTAATTAGCTTTAATTGAAATTGCTCCATTCCCGTCCGCCGCGGCGATCCCGGATATGTATGTGTCTCCTCCGTTGAGGGTGTGTGGCCCCGTGATTTGGGTTTTAATGGGGAAAATGTTTGTAATTTTGGCAAAGTTAATTTATGGGGACCCCGGGACCCCAAACAAATCCCTGACCCAGCTACATTTTCAGCCGCCACCTCGGTGCTGTGACGCATTTTACGGTTGCCGCTTTGCCACTCAAATAATTAGAGAAGTTCAGATCCATGCGAAAAGTTTATACATTTCTGCAATTTTGCGGATTGTTCGAATTCAATTGATTTCGGCCATTTAGTGTAGCAAATTGGTGTGAGAGTGCGAAAACAATATGCAGATAGACAGAAAATAGGTAAATATATTGCCGGAAATTAGATAAACAAATTTACAATAAATATTAAATGCCAAGAGTGAAATCAATTTTAATGGCATGCGGGCAAAGTCACATTTATGCAATAATCTCTCTACTGAAAATGACAATAATAATTTTAGCCAATTAAATCAATAGAAAGCACATTTTTGCGTACGTTTTAATTGTTCTGGCTTTTTTGGTTTATAATAACTCGTATCATGTACTTATATAGCTCTAATCACAATTAGTTTACCCAAGTGAATTGCAATGGAAATCTTTGAAGAGTTTATGGACATAAACACAGTTTATGGCGCAGATATCAAAAGGAATACTACTACTCGCTGTCTGTGAAATAAAGCCGAGCACTTTTATCAGTTTTGGATGTATCATGATTTGTCAGTAAGAATTAGGCAAAGGTAAATTGACCAAAATCATCAATTTGGGTTTTATGCAAATGGAAAACAAATAAACAGACAACTTAATGCGTGTTTGTTTGTTCCAAATGATTAATCTAGATAAATATTTGGGCTTTAGGGAGCTATTAGAATTATTGATAAGCAAGCTGATTACTATATAAAGTTGAATCAATTAGACCGTCAATTAACAAGTTCACCTGCTTCCGCGCTAAAGTCAATGTGTCTCAATTACCAAATCCCCTCGAAAGTTGATCAAATGATAGGTAAAACATAGAGTCGCGACCATATCGATGGGAATTGATTAGCTGGGCCATAAAGCCATCAAACGCTTTCGATTTTCGATTGATTGAACGCCTGAAGACTGACTAATTAAAGAAAAACCAACCTTTATCTCGAGTCATCAATCATTATTTATTGCATACTTTTTCGTGTCATATATTGGGCCATATAAATAATGTATTTTCACAGCGCCAAGTACAGTTGTACAGTTATGACATTGCATTCGCCATGGTAAATTCTGAATTAAATTTATAGCTAGCCAGCAAAGCTAGATGTCAAGTGGCTTGGGAAGCGTGTAGGAAATTATTTTGTTGACCATTTTATTGGTCGTGGTATACCAACTGAAGGGGCCTTCGGTTAGAGATATAGTGCAATGCAGTAGCAAAGAGCTATGGCTTACACCATTGGCTACCGATCGACTTGATTTACGCCCTATCCAAAGAGCGGGCTTTGGCCCACCTTCATTTTCAGGTGGGTGGATCAAATCGGATGGGATCGCACAAGAAGATAAGAAGGAAAGACTTACAGCGATATACTGCTTCGTACTGCTCTTCGGGAATCGGAGAGTCAGAGAGTAAGAGAGCGGTTTCAATTCGATTCAATTCTTTCGACTGTGTCTACAGACCTGCCTGTGTGTGTGCCTATAAAACGCTTGCAGGAATTTGCAGCGATTTAGTCGTCATTTTAACCAGGTTGCGGATCGTCTTCGCCTCAGTTTTCAGTTTTCCATACTCATGGATCGCGTTGTGTGAATATGAAAGTAAAAGTTTCCGAGGAACGACTACTGCTGAGTCTTAATTAATTGACAACACCCACTCTTCTGAGAAAAAAAGTGAATTAGTAACCAAACGAGAACAACGAAAAGTGACAAAGTGCCCAGAGATTTGAGACATCAACGAAAGTTGTCTAATTTCCTGCCCGCCATCTGAATACAAAGTAGGTTTTCCCCACCACCGCCCTTTCATCTTATTCCCACCTTCGGGTTCAGTGGCTGTAATAAAGTAAATACTTTAGATATTTCACATTTCTGGCTGTACGTGTTTTTTTGGGCAAACCAATTAAATGACAGAAAAAAAGAGCACAAGTGCAAATGCAAATTACACTCGCTTATGATTAAAACGCCCGCTTGCGACTTTGAGCTGTTATTAATTTGGTTCATATATTTGACTTTATTTACGTTTTTTTGCCCATTTGCATATTGGCCGAAATTAATGAAATGTGAATGATTTCTTAATGAACTCGAAATGAATGCATAAGAACATTTTATTGCATGAGGAAAATCAATTTGCAGTGCTACCAATTGTATCATAATTTAAAATTTGTTTAATCGAGCATCTCAACCGGGTTAAGCCTATAATATAAGCAGTGAACGAGTTCCAGAACGCATTAATTTATATCGGACTGGGAAATAATAAATGCGAAATAGGAATGAAATTAACTACGCAGTGCGTGGAACGGTACTAAAATGAATTATCATTATATTGTAGAATGTAGAAATAAGTATATTGTTTTAAATGAGTTCTATTTGGATCTTTGTAAGCATTATATAAATTAATTCAACTTTTCTGTCATATCATTCGGGAATTTATTTTCAACTAACTAAAATTTCTAATCGCTTTTAAGAGTATTTTTGTTTCTGTGCGCTGAAGTACTTTTATATCCAATCCAGATCAAACAGTGCCGCGTGCCAAAAAAATCACTTTTATGATATTATAAACCAACTTTATACTTTGGATCCATCCAAAATACTCATTATTTAGGTTCACAATTCGTACGGCTTAGATAAACAGA